GCTCTGAACCCTCGACCCTGACTAATGAAATGGTACTACGAACGGTAAAGTTCACAGAAGCATCCAAGAGTTCACATTGCTAACCCACGCTTAACCCTCTCTTAACCCGCAGGCTTCATCCCCGGGTGGGCCGCGATCGTGGAGGGCATGTTCTCCGGCTCCGTCCCCTGGTTCACCATGATGGTGCTCGCGCGCAAAGTGCCCCTCCTGAAGCACATCGACGACACGCTCGGCGTGGTGCACACGCACTGCGTTACCGGCATCTTGGGGGGTTTCCTCACCGGGGTATTTACGACGCGCGATCTTGCGGCGTCGTTTCCGACGTATCTGCCGTCGAATGGGCTCATCCAGGGCGGTATTGGGCAGGTTAGTATCTTCTTCTTCTCGTCGCGCGTATACTTTTTCTCTAGTATGCTTAATGATCATGCGCCATCAGATTATTTCATCGCTTTTCGGTGCTGATCCCTTCTGAGAATCCGGATAGACAGCGAGCCGTTGTGTTGAAGCGGTAGATCCGTACAAACCGCGACCTGGCGGCGTCATTTCCGACGTGCCTGCCGTCTAATGGGCTCGTCCAGGGAGGAATCGGGCAGGTGGGTCCTTCGTTTCCCGTCTCCCAATATGTCGTTTTTTTGCTACTTCTGTGATCCTCGGCTTGTCCTCGTCGCTTTCCGTGGATGTGCTTCGGTGCTGAGGTTCTGGAAAAACACGCAGCCGATGTGTTCGCCGGTGAGTAGCCGCAGAAGCCGACTTTAGTGGGTGCTTTAATTGACGGATGAGATGGTGCAGATGTGTGCCAGTTGCGGGGACGGTCCGCGAGAGAAATATCTTCCCGTCTCCATGTTGGAATGCCATGAGGCACGTTTTTGGGAGAAAATGTCCTTGTTCGGCGCTTCTTCTTCTCGTGGGTCGATCGAGCAAGCTTTCTGCCTCTGCCTCTAGTTGCCCACTCGCAAACTCTGCTTCACACCCCCACTATTCCCGGCTGCGCGGATCACGATGTAGACCGCGCTCGTCTTCTTGCAACGATTTTGATAGTTTCCATGTAGGAAAAACGAACCTTTCAAGCTTCTGGACCTTCCCACCAGACTCAGTCACACCGCCCCTCCCCCCCGGCGCAGGTCGGCAAGCAGCTCGCGGGCGCGATGTTCATCGTCGGCTGGAACATCGTGATGACGTCACTCATCATGCTGTTCCTGAAGCTGGTCGTGCCCATCCGGATGTCGGACGAGCACCTGGAGATCGGCGACGACGCGGCGCACGGGGAGGAGGCATATGCCCTCTGGGGAGAGGGCCTCACGTATGACGAGTCCGTGCACGGGTGGTACGGATACGACCGGACCACGCACGGCGAGCGGAAGATCGGCGGAACGGAGCCGGGCACGCCCGGGGGGGTGGAGGACGGAAACGGAAAAGGGGCCAAGGCGATGGTGTAGATTGACACGCGTGCGGCGGTGGGATGGGCGCTCAGGAGGGTAAGAGATCGGAACGGAGTACGTGTTGGTGAGCAGGAGAGCAGAAGTGTGGGGACAGGAAAGGGTCTCGGGGATGCGATAGCTTATTGAAAAGGGCGACCAAACGCGGGGCGGAAATTGCCAGATGTGTACGGCGTTTGAGTCGCCCAAAGACGGACCGTTGGCAGCGGATCGCTTTACTACTGCGCCGTTGAGCCGACGTTGCGCAAGGATTTAGACTGTTTTCTTACATATATGGCGCGCGCGTGGAAGCGCCTGACGGAGCATTGGATCAGCTCGTAAGCAACTACTTGAATGCGGTTTAGGAGTCGATTGAAGCGTGTAGGAGTCCAAGTCAAAAGTTCACAGCCGCCGCGGTTTACGAGATTTGTATCTTAGCCCCCGCTGTGTACTATCGCCAATGCAATTGTCGGCGGCTGCTCTAAAGTAGGAGATAAACAGTACAACCTTTACTGTGGGTGGCACTGGCAGATGTACTTCGCAAAACTGGGCTTGGGTCGCCCTTTCATTTGGATAGAAGCGGGGCCGGTTTTGCACATGCATCGGTCACTGTTGTCTTTTTTCCGTGATGTTCTCTTTTCAGACGCCGTAGCCACATATGCATGGGCCACCAACGTGATCGCCATTCCGGGCCCGGGCCGACTCCAACTCAACCGCCCCCGGGGCTAAAACATGATACAACGAAGACTTGAGAAATTGATTGCGCACAATGATGGCTTGCTGAGATTCTTCTGGGCAGCCCTAGACGTGGTTATGGACTGTGAAGCATACCACTTTTCAACATAACAGCTCGATATTGGATGGAGCAATCTCACCATTTGGAAGGGCGTGCATTCGAAACTACCGTACCGTACCTAGCTGTAGTTGAAGGTCGATATGCTCAGCACTCCGCAAAACACCAGTAAGTTCGTGCCTCGATATGCGGCATTTGTTTGTGCTTACTGCATGATATGTCGCATGTGTGATAGTAAGCTGCCACACCAGAGGGTTGTGCATCAGAGGATAGAGAAGTGACACCGTTGAGTTGGTCGAAGCCAACAGAATATAAAGTGTGCCCTCTTGGGCATATCCTCCGAAGTACCTGCAACAGTGCCTGGATAAAAGATTCGAGCCAGAGCCTCCAATCAAGTTCACTCCTCCTTCCGGCCAGCGATTCCGTTCTACCAATCAGTCGGCGGTGTTCATGATCGAGCAAGTGCCGCAAGTTGGAAGTGCTCATTCTTTACACGATACAAACTTCTCCATGAGCCCGGCGACCCGCTGGAACTTCTCCTCCTCTATGCTCAGCACGAACCTACAGTAATTGTCGAGGCTCATCCACGAGCTGCTATTGACTAGGATGCCGGTCGTATAGTACAGGGCCTCTCGGATGTTGTCCGCGTCTAGTTGTACAGTCTTGACGCCGGTCGGCGTCTTGTATGAGAACGGTTTCCCGAGGTGGGCTGCCGGCTTGGCAATCAAGAAGAGGCCCCCGTGCGGAAGTAGGACCTCCCATCCGGACTTGGTCAGTAGCTGGGAGAATTTCTGAACTCGCTCCTGCAAAAAAGTGCAGCGAAGTCCGTTTCCAACTCCGAGCTCAAGCTCAAGGCATGTCCGAAAGGGCAGTCGACACATGCCAAGACAAAGCGCACGCGAAGCTTGCAAGAAAGCCCCCGAGCCGCCGGCCGCCTCTCAGATTAGGTTGGCAGGGCTTATCGAGCCTGCATCTGTATTCCAGTACCAAAAAGCCAATCGAAGTCTGCTTGCCTTTATACAGCAGGACCGCAGAGAGGAACGTAGAGACCAAACGGTCAACACTGACTTTTCCACTTGCGCTCCGCAAGGGGAGAGAACCTCACCTGCAGAAGCCGCCTTTGCTGTGCCAATTGGCTCGTGATGGGCTCATCCGCATTCACGCGGGCAGCCAGGATTTTCTTGGCAGCGTAGAGAAGCGTCTGATGGGGGCTGCTTTGAACGCCCTGTTTCAGGGCGTCCGACAGGAAAGGGTCCTGCGTCACGGCGTAGCCAAACCTGGCAAGCAACAAAAGTGAGTCAGCTGCAACTAATGATGCGCAAGAAGAGCCGGAGAAACACCTTAGTCTAGAGGCGGGGATGTTCCTACTCAAATCGTGTTCAGCGATTGATGCCAAATTGAGAAGAATGTTCTCGAGATGCAATTTCGCAGCTGCAATCGCTTTCTTTGCGGCGTCGACCGGCGGTGTATTCTCGAAGAGCACATGGGCAAAGGCGCCCACAAAAAACGTCGGTGGCTCTGCCCACTTATCCACCTATCGTAACGTGGTTCTACTTCAGAGTTGATAAGTCGTAAACCAAATAGAACGGCCGCTTCCTCCAGCTACCAGAGTGCACCACTTTCAGAAAGCCGACTCATGTGGAATCGCTATGGAACATGTATCCTATCAAGCGGCTAAACAGTCCCTCACCTCAATCCACCCGCCGAGAACTCCTTCGCAATGCCCCCCAGCACTGCGACCGCATACCCTCCCGCCGGCTCCAAAAGCGCCCCCAGCCCAAGGGCCGCGTTCACACCAGCCCCAGGCCCCCGGGGCGTGCTCACGGCAGGCTCGAAATTCAGCCCGGAGAAGGTGGTGTCAATAAGCACCTTGACGCCGTGCGCCTTGGCCACTGTCAGTATCTCGAGCAGCTCCAAGGGGGTGTAAATCGCCCCCGTGGGGTTCACGGTCGGGGCAACTAGAGCGAGCCAGGGTTTGTGGTGGTGCGTGGCGAGGGCTGAGCGGAGTTGGTCCGGGGTGAGCTTGAAAAGGTCGGCGACGTCCGTTTTGATCGCCGATGCCTTCGCGTTGTACAGCTGAGCCGTAGCAGTGAGGGCTCCATACATGCCACTGCCAAGAAAGGAACGACGACTCGGGTGAGGATCGAAGAACGAGGTAGATTTGTTCGTGCGAAGTTTTCAATTCACTTCGCTTGAGTTTCTGTTGAAGACCAGTAAAGAGGGCCGCAGCGAGTCACCTCCGCTCGCACCCTGGTTGTCTGCAACTTGAACTTGAACTGATGTTACGAAGGTCGGAAGCTGGCGGTTTCGACCTCAACTCTGTCACATGCTTACCTGAGGGCTCAATGCTGGAGCGATTGTCAAGTAGGGGGAGTGCTATCTTCAGCTACATAGCTGGCCCTTTGCTTTATGACTGCTTTCAAAGGGAACGAGTTGTATCAAGGCGGCTTAACTAAACTTGTCGGCAGCCCACCTGGGGTACAAGAGCGTCCCGCCCTCCTCCGCGCACGCCGCCAGCAGCCGCGCAACTAGAGGCGCGACTCCGTCCCCGAGATGCACCTCGTAGGCGTGCTCAGGGCGCGCACCCAACCGCTGCAGCAGGATCGCCAAAATCTCCGGCCGCGGGTCCGACTCCGCGTCCGAGATGTTCTGCCGGGCGAAGCTCTCGAACGCGAAGCGCTTCACGGGCGTCGGCGTCGGGAGCCGGTTCTCACCCATGTTCATGGGCACGGGTTCGAGGGTGGGAAGAGGCTCCAGGTGCTGGAGCGACGGGTGTGAAAAGGCGCGGAGGGCGCTGGCGGTGAAGCCGATGAATTGGGATCGGACGGCGTCGGACTCAGGGGCTGGGGGCCGGACGTGGAGGGAGCGGCGGTCGGGGATCTGGAAGGCGAGCAGCTCGTGGAGGAGGTCCTGAAGAGAACGAGAGCGGGGAGAAATATGGGCTGCCGGGAATGAAAGGACTTATGCTTGCTTAGCTGGGTTGTTGCCAACTCCGTGAAAGGCTTGGCGCTTTTTAAGAGAGAACACGAATGAGCTTGGGGTGGTGGCGACAAGGAGACTAGTTGAACGGATTGCGTCTGTCCACAGCTCAAAAGTACTCAACGTGACCTGAAGACTAATCAAATCAGCCTTGTGAAAATAAGAAGGACATTGCAAGCGTCACAAAGCCTTGGACTTGGTCAACTCTTGCAAATGCACTCTACTGGAAAACGTGGCATTGTAATGGAGATCCGTACCTGGTAATACAGCTGCGCCAAAATGGGCGATCGGTTGAAGGTCAGCTCGCCAGCACAGGTGAGGCCCTTCAGGAAGTCGAGGTTCTCGGAGATGGCGAAAGCAACACGGAGGTCCGAGTACACCTGAAGTAAATGCGTCCAAGTTCGTTTGAGTCCGTCCGAAAGTGTCAGCGGGGCGCGTCATCATATGTTTGTTCTCAATTCGCACTTGCAAAGTCGGCAACAGGCTTTTCTAGATGCCGAACTTCTTAGTTAGAACTTCCACAAGTTCAGCAACTTCCAAACCGCAGGCTGTCGCAGGTCTAAGACACTCGTAATACAACTGCGTGGGGTGATTGGAAGCATGCAGAACATTTAGCCACGAAGCACGTCAGCTTCAAGAATGCAAACACAAAGAGATGCCTCATCGACGCTCGACAGGTCACTAAACAGGATCTCTCACCTGGTTCTTGACCAGGCCGCAAATGATGGCGGCATGTGCAGGTAGCGGCTTCGAGGCCATAAACTCGAGCACGCCGTTGGCCCCAGGGAGACTGGAGAGGTCCAAGTGGTCGCTCAAGTCGACCATCAACCGGGCGCCCACGTCCGCAGTCGCGTCCAAAAGCTGCTCGAACGCGGTCGCCGTCCGAACCTGGACAAAACGAGTTTCCGTTAGATCGTGCACTCGAAAACGGAGCAAAGGTGGAACTTAAAGGACACTGGACAGGTCTGAATGGTCACTCAGGTCGACCATCAATCGGGCGCCCACGTCCGTGAATGCGTCCAAAAGCTGCTCGAACGCGGTCGCCGTCCGAACCTGGACAACGCGAGATGAGGATTTGATGTGAGCTGAACGTGTAGCATGATCGTGGACACGCTGCTTTTAAAAAAAAGGGAGTGAAAGATATGCAGGAGCAGTAATTGAAAGATCGCCCACGACTTCACTGCAAAGAAGCAGTCACGTCCAAAATGCTACTCGAAGATTTTGGCCGACTACCTGGGGTGCGTGAGAAGAGGACGGAATGGCAACTCGAGAAACGAAGGTGGAGACGAGGAAGACTGCACGCTGACAGGGGACGCATTACCAGGCAGGAAAAGAGGTTCGTGCAAGTGTATTTTGAGATGCGACCTTGTTACAAAAAGCGCAATCGCCTGTCACAGTTAGATCCACACAAACAACCTGTCGGCGACACGGTTCAGAGCTGCGACATGTCCGCATGTCTGTAGTGTCGAGGCATTTACTAATTTGACAAGAAAAATCACTGCCGGTACGAGCTGGCAGTAAAGAAAGCGCAAATCGGTTGCGTTGATGAGCGGAACCCCAACGAATCGCTCCTCACCTCGAACTCGGGGAGTGCCACGACCACCAGCTCCGGCTTCAGCGCCTTGACGAGCTTCAGAACCAGGTCCGCCCTGGAGGGCGCCTCAATCACGACCGGGCCCGATTCTAGACTCTGCCTTGCCCCGCCCTCCTTTGGCGGCTCGGTCGCGAGCCACTTCCGCGGCAGGCCCGCCGTCAAACTCGCGTCAACGAGCGCCAACCTTGGCGCGTAAATCGTAATCACGTTTTCGATTAGCACCGGCCGGGAAGGGGCGATAACCAGGTTATCCTGGGTTAGCGGAACCCGGAAGTAGAGGCGGAGGAAGGTCGCGAGGTGGTTCCGGAACGTGTCGGACCCCGCGGCCTGTTCGTACGGGAAGTTTGGAGAGGTTTGGAGGTACTTGGCGAGGTGCGCGAGGAACGCAATCTTCTCGTCCGCGACGGCTTCGGACGAGAAAGACAGGTCGAGCGCGCTGCGGGTGTCCGAGAAGTCGGGGTCGGACAGGAACTGGAAGATGCGCTTCACCTGTGGGCAGAGCAGAATAAAGTGGAGTCAATGGGCCACAGAGACATCCTACTGGTAGCAGAGTTTGCTCGAACGTTGGATGCCGTTTTCTGAATATTCGACCCAAGGGAGAAACGGGAAACTTTCCTGCTTGGATGGACCACCGACAGAAAGCCTGGACTTTGTGATCGAAGGAACGTTACAAACGAGCCCTAGCAACGAGCAGAAAAGAGAAGCGGGAGCGAGCATGTCACTTCTGCGCACAGTACGGCTAAAATTACAGAGCAAGCCGAAACAGAAAGCACAAACTGGGCAAGTCCACCACCTTCTGTCCTCAACGAGACTCGACATGAACACCTGTGCGGCTTGTTTACCTGGTTGGGCTGACGCATCCTCGCCTCGAACACGCTGAGACCGTGGTAGATCTTGCCCCCGGACTTTGCAAAGGCATATGCCGTCTTGGCGCTGATTGGCTGGTCCACCCCCACGGGGCCCATGAAGAACTCGAACTTGTGGCGGCTGTTGCGCTCGATCTCTACCAGCGCCAGGATGTCGGTGTCAGCCGCCTGGCCTACGCGGGTTTGCCAGACCTGGAAAAAGAAGCACAGGAGATTCGAGCTTGACCGACCTATTTCACATCCCAAAATTTGCGGAAGACCGAAAATGCTTTCCGTCTCGAAGCAAGGCTCTCAAGCTCGACAAGAAGGGTTCCAAGTGCAGAGGGGATGATGGAACTCCACTCCACCTTTCAATTCGGCTTATTACAGAAGTGATGCTTGTAAGCGACCAGGTTATGATTCAGCGATGGCGCAATTGGGAGATTCTGCTGGAGTACGATACGAGCCGCATCACGGCAAACCTCAGAGACGATCGAAGAAATTTTGCCGGCTTATCACAAGGCAGTAGTCAAATGTCATGAAACGAGTCCGCGCACCTTGCGTATGTTGAACCCCCTGCGCCGGTAGAGCCGCTCTAGGACCGCTTGCCCCGGTCGGCCGCCCATGTTCATTATGATGGAGCCTGCCGGCTTGATTACCTGGATCGACTCCTCCAAGGCGCGGGCAATCAGCCCGAGACCAAACTGGTCCTCCACGAACCCCTGTGAGAAGTGCAAGAGAGCCCAAGATGAGACGGTTGGCGGAAGAGGAGACGGTTAGCAGAGGGTTCTGTACGAGGGCGTCCGTTTTCGAATTCCAGACGGCATCGAAGTCGCCGAAACAGTTCCTACTCGGAGCAATCCAGGGCGACTTTCGGATTCTTCTGAAGCTTGCAGAACCGCCATAATCTTCTGAGGAACTATGCATCATGGAAAGAGAAGCGAAAAGCATTGAATCACAAGCAAAAAATGCATCAAATGGCGAATCAAACCAGATGTCATCTAGACAAATCGTGGCATGTCACCTGCATACTGCAGTAGTTGCTGAGGGAGTAGAGGAACTCCTCGCTCGCGTTCTCAACGACCAACTTCGACATTGCGGCCGGATCGGGGTTCAAGATCTGTCACGAGAAAGCATCCGCTCAGGATTTTTATAGCTTCCTAGCAAGCTGTGGGCAGAAACGGTGAAGCTAGAAAGTTGCTCATACCAATCATTGGCTTGTCCTCTGCCAAGCACAGAACAATCTGGAATGCTGGATAAATATGCGCGACGAGCCTTTCCAGCAGAGTAAGCTCTCTTAACATCGGATGAGCTGAAGCGTGAAGAGTACGGGATTTTAAAGCTAGCCTAGACCAACCTCTTTGCAATGTCTCCTCGAGCAGACCAAACCGGAAACCATAACCCTGCTTTCTTCAGCCTTACTTGAGGGATGCAACCAACGATCCGGTCCAGGACGATCTTGTTCTCAATGCAGTGAGCCAGCAGGTCGCTGACGTGGAACTCGACGCGGTCCAGCAGGGACTTGCCCTCGGAGTCGAGGCAGGGGCTGCCGTCAGGGTTCAGTGCGTTGAGGAACAGGTTGATTTGAGCGCACTTGATGGCGCGCGGGTTGATATCCAGGCCAATAACCTGGACGTTGGATGAGACATCAAGAAGAAGTAAGGATTTTGTGGTTTCTGCTCCTTCACTGGCCGGGGCAGCAGAGTTTATCCAATCTGAAGCAAGAGCGAAGGGCGATACAGTTCTCACAAGCCCGCTCTTGCTAAGACATGGACAGATTGAGACAGGAGTATCAGGGGTCGCTTGTCCCTATGACACAAAATGCAAACTGGTGTGCACCGCTGGACATGGTAGCGGAAAAGGAGATCTGAGCTAAGTTGTTGCCCGCACCTTCCTGGGGGACCACCGCTCAGCTAGGGCCAGACTGACCCAGCCATTGCCACACCCGAGTTCGCAGACGTCTCTGTCCCGGAACTCGCTCTCAGGGTAGCGCGAAAGCCTGCAACAAAACCAAACTTCTGATGACCTGATATTGTGAAATGGGAGGCGTGCTGGATCCAGCTTCGACAAGCTTTTTGCAGGCACACCCATCTGCTTACATTCAGAGGCACTTACATAGAAGGCCAGACGGAAAACAATTGCGATACAGTGTCGCGTATTGTAGTGCTGGAACCTTGAAGCCTTGACCAGCGTCCGCAGGTGAGTCGCCAAGGTTACAACTGTAGCCTGAGCGCCCCTCCTTACCCCTCAAAGAAGGTGAAGGACCACTCCTCTGGGATGAAGATTCCAGGGAGCTCCAGCAGCTGCAACTTCTGCCTTTCAGCTTCATGCTCCCAACCTGAAACATGCGTGAAAGATCGTCATACTTTCCTCTCAGTCTTCGATTATTAAACTCACTGCGTTGATCATAAGTCAGAGGATAATGTTCGAAAAGAGCTGAAACCTCATCGAGTCTGCACCAAGCTGATTTCTCTGCACCAAACGCCACTGAACAGCGAGGCCCTGTCACAATCTTGTAGAGAAGTTCACTCCTCCAGAATCTTCACATTGCTTTTGAGCGGGCAGCAAATACAATGCCCTGTGTGGAAGCAGTCATCTCAGAAACTCACAGAAGTTGTGCTAAGGCAACAACCGGTCCGCCTAATTCAAAGCTACCAGGCAACAGCTGATGATGTATGTCCCATCAATCAGTTTGCGGAAATCCAAAGAGCCGAAGGCGGAGCGGCCTACCCTCATAGCAGAGGGCCAGCTCATGGAGCCTGAAGTGGTACTTAGCGAGGCTGTCAATCCCAGCCTCCTCTTTCTGCACATACTTGTATACTGCATCCAGGAAGACTCGGGTCGCAACTCTGGATTGAGGATCCTCCAGCTTTTGCAGGAGACCTTTGAAGTTGTTGTAGGCCTGCATCAACGATGTCAAGGATGTCAAATGTGCAGGTGCGGCCCTTGGCGGCCAAGTCAGACATTCCTTGATGGAGCAGGCTTGAAATGTTTCTGAATTGGACGTTCTGAATGGGAAAGGCAGAAGCATGATCCTACGGACACCACATCATCCTGGACAACCTCAACAACCTTGACTACTTGACCGAGAGAGAAGTGCCAACTTCATTCTAGCGAACCACCAGACACCGAAACACAGACGATTGGCTACATGGAGCAGCTCCTTATTGGTTTGTCAAACAAAAGTTACTTCAATCTATGGTTGTCACAATCCATTGATTGATTTGGCAATCACAGCTGCCGTCCTCAAACAGGCGCACGCTCAAGCTAGAACGACGGCATTCATATGAGGCAGAAGGGGCACATTTGGAAAAGCTGGACCTACATAGCACAGGCGTTGCACAAGAATGTAGGTCAAAGGTCACTCTTTGATTTGTCAGGAACATGATTTGACTTACCTGCCCGGCTGACTCACTGCAGTTTTGCAGGAATGCCTTGATGCTTCCAACATCATCGGAAGAATCCATGTTGATTGCAGATGTGGGTTTTGCTGTGACGCGGCAAATTAATCAATACGTTGCCTCGCAATGCATTCCCTCGCAATGCTTGGTTGCCTCTTTCCTTGAAAAGATGGTAGCTATCCGAGACACTCAAAACTTTTGCTTGCCCCCTGCCACACTTCGTGAGCGCCACCACAACAGTGACACTTTTCCAGCTTTTGACCAGCAACCAGCAATCCTTCAACCACCTTCAACTCCGACTCCGAGTTCTTGCCACAGCTGGAGTTCACATGAGTCGGATGGACGCACCGTACTGAGTTGGACTGAACCTCGTGGGCAGTTGTGGGGCAACTGTTACGGTGGTAGGGCGATCTGGCGCAAGAACTTGACACCATATGTTTACGACGACAAATTTTTACTTATCCATCAGACCAGCGGTGGCAGTTCTGTGTCAGATCTTGTCGCTGGAGATCCGAGTTTTCTGAGTAAGGTGTTCAACGATCTGTGAGGCTGAGAACGACTCGGAGGCAGAGCCAGAGGAGGGGGCAGAGCCAGAGCCTGAATGACATTGAGTGCGCGGACACTTTCAAATGTCTGGTCGTCAACAGGCTGAGCACCTCACAGACTGCTCCCTTGGTACTTCTGCAACATCCTCAACAGGTTCCTTCAGCACTGCATGCAGCTCATGAAAGAGTGGATGGAAACATCAGTGCGTCCACTCTCTGTTTGTCATGTTGCGCGGCAGTGGCGAGCGTTCTATTGTGACTGAATTCAGGCAGAGAAGCCTCAGTGCATTTGTAGTGTGGACTTTTCAGGGAGTGGTATATGTCCTAGTTCGGCTCTGCCGGTCTCTTGTTGCATCGGTCACATTGTCCATTGGAAACCTTCTGGTCGCAGTTGCGCTGCTGCCACATGATGCGGTCATCACTTACTGGACGCTTGTTAGGACGCGAGTCCTTGGGAGAAATGTCAAAATCCTGGCCCTGCTTCTGTTGCTAGTACCTCTAGTCGCCTGGCCTTTCGCTGTCCTGACTGCGAGTGTGATTGGAGGCCCCGTTCTGGTCATATTTGGTCAGGTGGTATATGGAGACGCCTTCCAGAGGCGGCCAATTCTCCTAAGTGCCCTCGAATGCATCAAGGACTTCGCAAGCTGGAACTATGACAACTACTTTGGATACCTGCGGGAGTTTCGTGAGCGGGCGGTCGAGAAGCCGTATGACATTAGCTTGCTCCACTTGGCAGAGTGTATCTTCGCAGGTGTGCTAGGCATGCTTGTGGACGGGACACTGGTCACAGCGCTTGCCTTGAGGTCCTTCTTCCCCATTCTTTGGTTCAATCTAAGGAGAACCTGGTCATCGGAGGGGATTCTGTCAAGGAAAGGGGCCGTCTTCTTCTCCATCATCTGGCCATTCATACTTCTGGCGATGGTCTTGATGGCCATGTTGGGGGGTTTTGTTGCGGGGCTCGGAGCGAGCGTAATCGTTTGGGAGGAGCAGGACGTTCACATGGGGTTCAAGTGAGTGTTTGCTGGACTTGGTTCGAGTATCTAATAGATGGTGTTATTTTGAGAACGGCGAAAATTTCTACCTTAGGGGAAGAAGGATCACTGTATCTATAAGAGGTTGTGGAAATGAGTCAAAAGTTTTTAGACATCTGTTGCTTCTTAGATGGTGCCTTCTCTCAGACAATCAAGATGCTTTTATCAGGAGCATCCATGATACAAGGGCTAAGTGCCGTGTCACGCTGTCAGAGGATCCTTTTCACAATCTCGGCAAGGTTTTGAAGGTATCTCAGATTATCGCAAGGTTTGCAAATCAGGCATTATCGCAAAGTTCACAAGTCGGGCTGGAATTGCACCTCACATTATGCGCAAGTCCTTTTTGAAGTATCTCAGAGAGAACTCAGTCTTCGCAAGTCAGGTTAGCAATTTCACACATCGAGTTCAAAAGTCAGGATCGGGAAAGAACAATGCTTTTAGGGTAACAGAAACTGAGAAAGCAATTTTTTGCCGTCTCATCTTGCTACTCTATTCAGGCAGATTGCACTATCGCCTTGGCCGATCTTCAGCTCTCCTGATTGTAGAGTCCAGATTGAGTCATTAGATACTTTCTTTTACAATCAGTTTATCGAGTAAGGTCGTGTTTCACCGCCTTTAGTTGAGGTGAGATGACGCGTTTAGCCTCAGGAAGCTATGTCTGATATGATCTTCTTTGGAAGCGGAAGTTCCACCTGTAGATTTGACGAGTGCTTCTCGATTGACCTGACTAGGTACATTGTGGCGGCGGCAGCCGAATTTGATGAAGTATTTCGGCGATGGAGTGGCGAGGACGTCGTTCTGCTCAAACCCTCGTATAGCACGCGTGCGAGTACAGCAAGCGAAATGTTTTCATTCCGAATCCTAAAAGGTAGTATCTAGGACTAAGACATCCGCCTTTGCAACGACTTACAGCGGGAGCTTTGCAAAAGGAAGGAAGGAGCTAGGGCTGAATAAGAATCATTTTATTGCTCCGAGCTGAGACGTATTGAACGCCTCGGTGAAAGTTGTTGGCGAACTTCATGTTCAACCTGTCATTGTATGTAGTCATACATGTTTGTAGAAAATAATGTAGGTCAGGCAACCGGGCATGTAACATGGACTAGCTAGCACCACTCTACATGAGCTTGCAACTTCGCCGGCGAGATCATATTCAAGATACGGTATGTTCGTTTGGAGTCACAAAGTTTGCCGGGTTACTTCGTCATATGCAGTTGTTGGCACAAGAGATCGATGGATTGGAGCCGGCCAGGTTGCCGTGTTGTGCTGCATGAGAGCATGTGTACGATTCAAAATTGCTAGATTAGAGCCTTCTGATGGTGATTAAGGTGGATTTTAAGTATACACTCCGGCCTTAATAAGCTTGCACAGTTGATACAAAACCTGGGGGGATCGTTATCTACGTATTGCTTTTGGGCTTTCCTCTATGTGAATTTTTCTTTATTAAAGGTGACTACGGATGGATGTACAATTGGGTAACAAAGTTGGCCGTTTCAATCAGATTGAAAGTTAACAATCCATCAGATTGCACACAAAAATGGAAGTATTGAATTATCCCTCAGTGATTCTGAGGTGGACCGTGGAACGTTCGGTTGGACAAGAGCTACACACGGTACATGACTGCATGACCACCATACCTAGATCAATTAGGTAGTAAGCAAAGTTTCAGCCTATGGGATGAGCCAAAATGGCCCACGTGCACCCCGTGGGCATCAAGGGCAGCGCGGGCGCGGTACGTACGGATCGAGCTGTCTGGAAATATACGGTACCCGGTGCACATCGGTGACCCGCGTCCGGTGCACATCGGTGACCCGCGTCGGTAGATCCAGGTAGATCGGCTAGCGCTCATTGTGCAGTCTGCGGCTTCGCTTCACCGGGCCGCGGCCTGCAGGCCGGGTACCACCTGGTACCACCTTACCGGGGAACCGGGTATCCCGGAATGACGACCACAGGTGTGACGTCATGCAGGATTGAGCTTCGAAACTTCGAAAGGCACCCAATTTTGCATGCATATGGAGCTTCTGAAGGTTCTGCGTAGCTGGGGCACAGGTTCTGCAGGACCTCACGATTCTATTAGCAGCGTGTGCACGGCAGTTGCTTGGCGCCATAGCGGCCCCTATCCAACTCTGGGCACCTCTGCGGTGTGCTTCGTTGAACTCCCGAGTCCTGGCGTCTGGATTGAAACGAGCCGATTCTGGGCTCAGGAGAGCGCTGCTGCAAGGGTCTGTTTAAAAGCTGGAAAGCGATTAGGAAGCTGGAGAGTGCATTCTGCACGTGAAGCATCGGCCTTGTCGTTTTCGTACAGTGGTGGACGCACAATAGAGGAACAATCTCCTTGCAACTACTTGTCATTGGCAACCAGGGGACAGCAGTATCTACAGTTCAGAGGACACAAGGTGTTGTCAACGGTTTTTGCTCTTTCAGAAACCATCTCAATCAGAACTTCGGTTGTGCTCAAACCCGCTCTCTATGTTGTTCCTCCTGATCCCAGTGTTCGTCGGGGTCGCGATACTCGTCAGCGCCAACAAAGATCGCATGCGCAATCAAAGGCGGGCTCACGGATATGTTGGGCAGCGGTACTCAATTCCGGGGAGTACCCCTAGAGCTTCCGGTGTTACGGTGCAGGTGAGAGCTCAGACTTAGGAAACTTCTTAAGGACCTGATTGACGCAAGCTGAGGGAAAGGCAGCCAGGACTTCTTGAGGTGGAAATGTGTGTTCTGTGAGGAAATTCTATTGCGGCGCTTACAAGGAAGACTTTGCCGGGGCCCCGTGCTTTTGGGTGGAGCATGTGATGTTTCATAGAGTTGGCCAACTTGCTTTAGAACTCTGGCCTTGTCTGCAAAGGTGGTCCTTGTAATCAGTCGTCATGCGATTCAGGGCTTAAATTGCATTACTGAGGCATCAAATTGAACTCGGTTTGTTGTTTCACTGTGTGTGCTGCGCTGGCGACTTGAGCTGTGCTGTGGCGGTCCTTAACTTGTCCAAAATTGTCCCTCTCTTCTTCTTTGCATTTTTATGGTCCTGTACAGAGGTAACTAAGCCCACAAAGTCCAGGCAAACTACCTGTACTTAAAAGCTGCTTACTGTTGGAGTGAGTTCAGGTCTAACTGGGAAGTCAAGCGACAGAGATCAATCAGTGGCATCGGTTTTCTCCGATGCTGATGGAAGTCTGTCTCTCAAGCCCTTACGATCTTGCCTCTTTTTCCCACAGTTATCGCTTGGCGACTTCTCGGGCCCACTGGTTTCGGTGTCCAAGCGGAGGAAGAGAAAGGTCTATGTGCCAGAGGCCTACTTCTTGAGTGCCACGGTAAGCAGTTGACTGACAGAGGTTGACATGCTTTTTGATAAGCAGGCTTTTGACGGAGCCTGTGTCTATCTTGAACCTCCTTCAAGGCGCTTGTAATCTCAAAGAATGTCCTTTCAGGGGTTGACATCCCGCTGTGTAGTTCTTTTTAGTCACTGGGCTTCCATTTTGCAGAAGTAGCTACTAAACATACAATTGACTAACCAATCAGAAGCTCTAGTCTCTTTCAGACTTTAGATACGAGCAAGTTTTGGTGCTGAAACCTTTTTTAAATGGTCGCTGCGCTTCTCAGCACTTCGAATGGTGCCGGCACAAGGAATAGATTCTGTTGATGCTTGGGCAGAAATCTGCAGCGCTGGTCACTCAATTCGGTTATACGACAAGCACATGTGTGATTCTGCTATGGTTTGTGTTTTTGTGTAGCACTAAGAGGTCTCCTTTCTCTCCCTTCATGCTCCGGAAAAGGGACATTTCGCCGTTGTTTGTACAGGACATCCCCTTCGTTCCGAATTTGTTTTCAGCATGTAGAAAAAGCGTCGTTTCACCTTTATTTGTGTAGGAGTTTAGGACTCTGCCGTTGGTCTCGATCTCAGCATATTCCTCTTTCGAGCGGTTGGTGGCGATTTCTTTTGCAGAAGTATATAGTATTGCCCACTTTCGGAATCTGTACTGGTTACTGTAGTGACACCGCGCATCATCAAACAAGCCACATGTTGCTGGACCAGGCTCCGTCCTCAATAACCCTTCACACTTGATTTCCATGTGGTTACGACATGCCACCAGCCAAATACCCGCTCGTGTTTTCTAATCAAGTCCGCGTTTTGTCGCAGCTTAACGACACTACGCATCGGCTGACCATGCTCCACCGGTCCAGCACCGACGCTCTCAACCTTTCCTGGGGCACGGGTCCTCACCTCTCTTTCGCCCTTCCCCAAACCGCTTCCGGTAGCTTCACAACCGGGGACCTGCTGCTCGAGCTCTACGGCTGCCGGAAGGGCAGCATCACTGGCAAGATCAAAAAAGTCGTTTTGCTTGGGCACGCCAGAGTAAACCTAGCAGATTGTCTGGACGGGGAGTCCCGGACGCTCGCGGCGCAGTTTCGGGTGTCAGAGGGGGGCGAGCGGTGCAGCAGAAAGCGGGTGGTCGTTGCGCCCGGGGGTACCGAGATTGGGCAGATGGGCGTGGGGGTCCGGCTGCTGTACCCCCCTGGATATGTTCTGGGGGGTGCTCGAGCCCAAGAGAGTGCTCAGTACGCGTATGATCCTCTTAAGATGAACCGCATAGAAGGGGTGTCCGCAGAGGGGTACGTACCGGCGGCCGTGTACGGTCCAGATGGGGCGGCTTGGGTTGTGGCGTCGAAGGAGGGCGAAGCAGTAGGAAAGGAAGAGGAAAAGGCGCAGGTGTATCCACTTTTGTAAAAAGCAATTTCTTTGATTTGGGCCCTTTGGTGTAGATATCCTGTATACAAAATCCGTAGTTTGCTTCAATGTGAACGTCTAGTGAGCCCGATAGAGTTTGGGTTGATATGCGTGGGGCATCATTTTTAGACCTGCGAATCGGCTCCAGTCGTGTAAAACATGGTCCAGTTTTCGCACGCTTTACTGTCTTTTGAGCAAGTGCTGGTAGTGGAGTCTGGTCCGCTGGCTGCTTGGTTTCGTAATTGTATACTTACTCTGAAAGCCCGCTATTGATGAATGTTTACCGAGCCTGGATTCAATGTTTCCTTGGACTAAAACGTACCATACGTTGATTGCATAAGGCACCTTTTCTATGTGGCATGATTGCGAAAGGAAAGCTACAGGGTTACCTTTTTTGAATGCGATTACTGTCTCTTTGCGAAAATAATGCGCGCAACGGCTGGGTAGAATATTAACGAGTGAAACATACCGTACTCATGCAGCATGCCGTATTGCGCTCGATCCGCGAACTGCATATGCCCGGTCATGGGCTGCACCTTGGAGGTATCCGTTCTCCTTGTTCGTTTGAAGTCCACATGAGTTACAAATAACGCACTGGCATTTGATTAACGCGTAAATAAGAAGGTCCGCGGGCATGTTCAAGTTTCGACAAAATCCCACGGGAATCAGGCCGCCCAAAAACTCGATTTATAATGCCACCATGCATGATGTGAGTATACCTTGTGCAACTTCATGTTTTAGAATGCTTCTTGACCTGATAAACCAACAAACAAACTCGGCGATCCGGGATTAATGAACCATACGTGACTGTCTGCTTTACAAGGCATCCAAATACGCCTTGAATCTTCGATCTACGCTATGAGTACGTAGTGCCTATGCTTCCGCGCAAAGGAATCGTAGTGTCCTCTCTTAGCCCTTATAAATGTCGTCCACAGAATGCACTTATTGTGCGTTTTTCTTGAAGGGTCTTTTCGCAAGCGCCCCCTCCTCGATCGAGTTCTCTTCGATCACACCATCGCGGCACTTTTGAGCCGCGTATGTTCCCCGCCTGCCGCCATTCCCTCGGGGGATCCCCCCTCTTTGACCACCCTCTCCGCGTGAGCGCTCTTCTCCTCGGGCCCGCTCCATCCGTGCTGCGACTCGTCGTACGTCATCCCCTCCCCCCAAAGGGCATATGCCTCCTCCCCGTGCGCCGCGTCATCTCCAATCTCCAGATGCGCGTCGGACATCCGCAGCGGGACGATCAGCTTGAGGAAGAGCATGATGAGCGACGTCAGCACGATGTTCCAGCCGACGACGAAGAGGCCGCCCACGATCTGCTTGCCGAACTGCGGGAGGGGAAAACAGAGAGGGTGTTGACACCGTGAGAAGTTCTTGGCAAACATGGGGTGTGAAGAAGGGAAGGACGACTTTCCTTGAAAAAGTTTTGACAGTCAGTGGAGAAGTGCGTTTGTCGAAGATGTGGTGTTGCGAGGCGTACAAAGCGACAGGAACAGCGAGAAACTGATAAAACGGTATTCGCATGGGCAAGAGGCCTGGCAGAAGATTCTATTCTTTGCAGGAGAACCAGAAGGGACCAGATGCACATTAGTTGGCAGGTCCAGTGCGCAACGGAAGTCGACTTCGCAGAGCGTGCTCGACGCCGGCATAAAATCTTCAGTCGGTAAACGAAGTGTCAAGCGTAGCATCTGCACGGAAGAGAACTCTCAACTTCTGGGTCCCGCATCGGAGAACATTGAAGACGAAGAGACCGAGAGTTTTCACACCTGCCCACCGCCTCCCTGGACAAGCCCGTTGGACGGCCGGAACGTCGGGAACGACGCGGCCAGATCGCGCAGTGTGAACACGCCGGTGAGAATGCCCCCCAAGAGCCCGGTGACAGCGTGAGTGTGAACAACTCCTAATACGTCATCCACGATCTTGAAGAGGGGCACTTTGCGCGCGAGCACCATCATGGTAAACCACGGAACGGAACCGGAACAGACACCCTCCACGATCGCGGCCCACCCGGGGATGAAGCCTGCGGAAAAGCGGGTTTAGAAGTTGGTTAACAGTTTTGGGTCGTAGAAGCCTGCGGAAAACCGGGTTAGGAGTGGGGTTAGCAGTGTTGAATTGCTTAAGCCTGCGGAAAAGCGGGTTGTTTAGTAACGTCCGAGGTGTATAGAAAGCGCTTCAGAGCTCAATCTACTCGGCAGAGATGTGACATCCTTAGTAACTCTTTACGATCGGCGTTTCAGACGGACACAGATCAGGACGGCAGCGGAATGAACGACAGAAAACCTTGCAAAACATGGGCCAAGCAGAATCGCATGTCCGCCGGTCAAGAGAACGTTGCGTTACTTGTTTCTGGCGGTTATCTTCAATTAGTTGCGTGACCCCGAGAACGATTCAGCTTTCCCGTGCACTCTCCAGAGCAGAACCAGAGCGAGAAAGCTTACCGGCCCCCGGAGTGATAACAACAAGCCCGGTGATGATGCCCTGCACGGCGCCAATGACGGACGGCTTTCCGAAGAAGACGTAGTCGAGGAGGATCCACACGAGCATGCTGGTCGCCGCTGCAATGTTGGTCTGCGGGGCAAAAAGGGCGACCACGAGAGGCGTCAGCTGTTTTGAGTCCGCATTGATCTCTTGGAGCGAAAGAAAGCGGAGCGCGCTTCTCGGGGAAGACGCGTCAGGCATCAGAGCAGGGCCTTAAACGTATAATCTTGTTTGACGCATCTGAGAGACGCTTTTCAGCTTCCCAATCCTAGCTTTTGCCGTGTTTTTTGAAATCGCCGCACATCGGAAAGGACCGAGAGGTTTCCCGTCTTCAAAACAAATTCTACTGTTGAAACCCTGGCCAATATAATGTGCGAAATTCCAGAACGCATCACCGGTCTGTCAAAGTTTAGCGACCGAGGAAGTTTTTCTCGAGGACGCGTGTCCCCGAGACCGACGGAGACTGAGAGGTCAAGTGAACTTAAGGGAAATAGGAGCTCCGCTGAGCGACGCTCACGTTAAGAACGGCGACCCCCGCGTCGACGTTTGCCGAGTAAGGGTCGCCCCCGTTGAAGCCGTTCCAGCCGAGCCAGAGCATGCCGGCGCCCGCCATAACGAAGATGACGTTGTTGGGGGGGAAGCGCTCGCGGTCACGCAGGAGACGGGGCCCGAGCTGCGAAGCAAGTGAGACGGATATGTTTTCGATGGGCTGTATCGTAGAAGTAGCGGTGATCACTTTCGTTGAAGAGCGAGATTTCGTTGCTCCAAAAGCATTTTTGCGACTGCAATTCGTTGATTATCAGGGCTTCAGGATTCTAGCGGTAGCAACATCTTTTGTTTTGAACGGCAAAGGAGTCCTTCACATTCATTTAGTCAGAGCGGCCCCTAAAGCGAACTGTTAGGGCGATCCCTTATTGAGGCAATTGGATCAGAACCGCAGGAAGCAGAGGGATAACTGGAGCTCACCCACGCGGCTGCCACGTGTCCCGCCGTCCCGGACGACACGTGGATGACGTAGCCCCCGGAGTAGTCCAGCACGCCCCACTTGTACAGGAACCCTCCCCCCCAGATCGAGAACGCGCAGACCGAATAAGAGCACACAAGCCATAAGGGCACGAACAACATCCACGCCAGGAAGCTCATTCTCCCGAGGAGCGCCCCCGCGATGAGGGCGACCGTGATGGCCGCAAACACCCCTTGGAAGAAGACCATGGTCGCCATTCCGTAGGCCGGGGTGATGTAAGCCGCGTACAGATTCGCCTGGGTGGACTCGAATCCGGCGCCGAGCGTCGTTCCGGGGCGGCCCCAGAACGGAATGAGCCATTTCCCGAAGGAGAAGCGGTAGCCGCAGATGACCCACACCAGCATAACTGCCGCGTATGCGTACATGACCATGAATGCGGAGTTGATCGCCCACTTCTTTTTGACCACCCCACCGTAGATCATGACTAACCCCACCATAGTCTGTAGGCCCACTAGCGTGGCTGACGTCAGCTGCCACGCGTTGTCGCCGGTGTCGAGGAACGACCCGGGCGGCGGGGCCGACATGGCTGGGATCGTGCGCGCGCGCAGACAGGAATGTAATGCGTGCCAGCTGTCAGCTCAGAAGGCGTAGAGAGTTAGATGCGCCAGAAGGAGACGGAAAAAAGATCCTTTGCAGCAGGCTACCTTTGAGAAACGGATCGGACAGCTTCGATGAGCCTCGAGAGCATTTTTGCGGGAAGGAAGAGGTGCAAATCCCCCAAACTAGAGTATCTTTCTTCGGATTGATCTTGTGCAGCCTGGATCACCTCAGCGCAGTCAGTATTGATAAGCAAAGGCGCACGTCAACGGGCGCACGTAAGTAACCTGGCGTTGCTGCAGAATCTCCCCTCCACCAATCTCAGAGGAGAGATCAAAGCTCTCGACGAGAAAGCAGCCATTCCGTTTCTTGCCAATGCCAGGCTGTTGCGAGACGTTGGTAGAGTGCTTCCTCTCTTTTACCGTCTTGTCCTACGAGGCTGTGAGACGCGGCGCGGCGTTTCGGAATTCTCAAGCTGGTGAGACCACGGTTGACATGCATACTGGTCGTTGACCAAGTGACGTTCCAAGCTCCAAAGTGACGTTGGAGGGCGACTGCCGAGCGCACGCGTCTGGTGGGTCGTCGTGCAAAATGCTGACGTGAGCAGTGAACGTATGTCTTCGGCGCGAAACCTTTTGTCTCGTTCGACCCTGTGCGTTGTCCTCTCATGCACGCTGACAGCTTCGTACACACTTTCGGTACCTATGATGCCCGGAGAGACTGTACGCTGCCATTGGGACTCTACACAGGGCGCCTTGGCTTTAAACCGGAGGCGAA